TATCGCTTGCTCTCGCAACCGTTTGTTCATTTTTCGGAAATGCATTCAAACGATTTTTCGACTAGTGTATGGCTAGCATAAGTTGTTAATTTGTAAGATGCTACAAGATCTTTACTACCTGAATACCTAACACCTCCACCCCCTTCCTGCCCAGGCCATTTTTAAGTTTTCAGCGCTGTCACATTTTGAATGACAATTATTCAGTCATGCAACACTGTACCCAAATTAAATTTTTATTATTTTTTTTTAGAGATAGAACTTTCTTTTTGTGGTATATTATCGCCACTGTGTTTTTAATTTTTTGCTATAGAAAAAAAAATACTGAAAATTATAAAATTTTGCAAAGAAATGATCTTTCTTCAAAAATGTAGGCCAAAATGAATTCTGCTACATTTATTTGGTAAAAATAACCCAAATCAGTGTATATTATTATTTAGTCTTTGTGAAAGTTATAGAGTCTACAAACTATGATATATACTGTATATTTGAAAACCGATCAGTCTTGATGTACTGACTGCCTATCTACGTTCTTGGGGCCCAAAAATACCAGGACAGTACAAAACCCCCCCAAATTATCCCTTTTTGGAAAGTAGACAGTGCAAGGTATTTAGTAAGAGGCATGGTGAGTTTTTTGAAGTTCTATTTTTTGTCAACAATGTTTTCGAAAATGAAGAAATTAAGTTAAATGTATTTTTTTCACAAACGTGTATTTTTAACAAGTTATGTTGCACCCACAACATAGGCATACTTAGAATTACAGCCCAAAACACATTATGTTATGTCTCCCGAGTATGGGGATACCACATTTGTGAGACTTTTCACAGCCTAGCAACATAGAGGGGCACAAAATCCAACGAGCACCTTTCGGCTTTAATGGAGCATAAATTACATGTAAATTATGCATTTAATTTCCTGACTACCTATCACAATTTTGGAGGTCCTGGAGCACCAGGACAGTGGAAACACTTACACAATGTCCCATTTTGGATAGCAAACACTCCAAAGTATTTTTTAAGATGCATGAGTCTTTTGGAAATGTCGTTTTTGCCTCAATTTTTTGGAAAATGCAGGAAAAAGAAGTTAAAAAGCATTTTTTGCATAAGGTTGTAAAAGATGTTTCTAAACACGTCATTGACATACTTAGAATTACACCCCAAAACACATTCTGCTACTCCTTCCAAGTATTGGCATACCACATGTGTGAGACTTTTTCACAGACTAGCCTCACAGAGCCCAAAATCCAAGGAGCACCTTCGGGCTTTCTAGGGGCCTTAATTTATGCATCTAATTTGCTGACTACCTATCACATTTTTGAAGGTCCTGGACATAGCTTGTGACATCCCTGGAGGTCCTCCCAAAACTACAATTTGCCAGAAAGGGAGTGGTTAAAGTTTAACGTAACCCATTGATTAAACCATTTCCCAAAACAGTTACAGTTGCAAGAAAAAGTATGTGAACCCCTTGGGATTACGTGGAGTTTTGCATGAATTGGGCATAAAATGTGCTCTGAACGTCATCTAAGTCACAACAATAGAAGAACACAGTGTGCTGAACATAATACTACACAAACATTAGATGTTGCCATGGTTTAATTGCACATAACATGTAAACATTCACAGTGCAGGGAGGAAAAAGTATGTGAGGCCCTAGCTTAATGACTTCTTCCAGAGCTAATTGGAGCGAGAAGTGAGCCAACCTTGATTCCAATCAGTGTGATAATATCGGATGTGTTGCTGACAGCTGTCCTGCCCTTAAAAAACACACACCTGTTTTGGGTTTACTGGTTTCAAGAAGCACTGTCTGATGTGAACCATGCCTCGCAGAAAAGAGCTCTCAGAAGACCTACAATCAAGAATTGTTGACTTGCATGAAGCTGGAAAGGGTTACAAAAGTATCTCCAAAAGCCTTGATGTTCATGTGTCCACGGTAAGACAGACTGTCTACAAATGGAGAAAGTTTAGCACTGTTGCTACTCTCCCTAGGCATGGTCGTCCTGTAAAAATGACTGCAAGAGCACAGCGCAGAATGCTGCATGAGGTAAAGAAGAATCCCAGAGTGTCAGCTAAAGACCTACAGAACTCTCTGGCACATGCTAACATTTTTTTGACACATCTACAATAAGGAAAACATTAAACAAGAATGGAGTACATGGGAGGACACCACGGAGGAAGCCATTGCTGTCCAAAAAGAATATTGCAGCACGTTTGAAGTTTGCAAAAGAGCACCTGGATGTTCCACAGCACTACTGGCAAAATATACTGTGGACAGATGGAACCAAGATTGAGTTGTTTAGGAAGAACACACAACACTATGTGTAGAGAAAAAAAGGCACAGCACACCAACATCAAAACCTCATCCCCACTGTAAAACATGGCAGAGGGAGCATCATGTTTGGGGCTGCTTTGCTGCCTCAGGGCCTGGATGGATTGTTGTCATTGATGGGAAAATGAACTCCAGAGTTTATCAAGACATTTTGCAGGAAAACGTACGACCATCTGTCCACCAACTGAAGCTCCGCAGAGGATGGGTGATGCAACAGGCCAATGACCCAAAGCATACAAGTAATTCAACAAAACAATGGCTGCAACAGCACAGAATACACCTTCTTGAGTGGCCCAGTCAGAGTCCTGACCTCAACCCGATTGAAATGCTGTGGCATGACCTTAAGAGAGCGATTCACACCAGACATCCCAAGAATATTGCTACACTGAAACAGTTTTGTGAAGAGGAGTGGTCCAAAGTTACTCCAGATCGTTGTGCAGGTCTGATCTGCAACTACAGGAAATGTTTGGTTGAGGTTATTACTGCCAAAGGAGGGTCAACCAGTTATTAATTCCAAAGGTTCACATACTTTTTCCTCCCTGCACTGTGAATGTTTACATGTTATGTGCAATTAAACCATGGCAACATCTAATGTTTGTGTAGTATTATGTTCAGCAGACTGTGTTCTTCTATTGTTGTGACTTAGATGACGTTCAGAGCACATTTTATGCCCAATTCATGCAAAACTCCACGTAATCTCAAGGGGTTCACATACTTTTTCTTGCAACTGTACATTGAAGGCATTCTGTGAATGATAACTTCCACAGTTGCTTTTGCTCTCAATCAAACCATTTGGCTGAAAATGCTGGTGATCACTGGTGTGCAGTACCATGGCAACTGCAGATCAAAAGAGGCTACGATGGCAGCTTCCTTGGCTGTAAAGGAGAGGGGGGTTTAGTTTCACTTTCAGAGACTGGACCCTAGTTTTTCATTCTAGTATGGTAACAGATGTCCTGCTGTCTAATTGGTGAGCAGTTTGTCCCAATGAGTAGAATGGTGTGTCTGAGGCAAAATTCCTTTGTAATTTTTTCTTTAAAATAAAACTTTAAACCACTTATTTACTCACTGTCCACCATTACATGGGCCTCCTCAGTGCCTCATCCATGAATAGGGAGTATGGAGATACCACATTTGTGATACTTTTTCACAGCCTTCCCAATAGACAGCCAATGGGAAGTCAATGTCAATGGAAATGCCAACCATGCAGCCACTTTGCAGTCCAGAGTAGAGAAGAATCATTGGGATTTACTTACTAAAACTGGAGGATGCAAAATCTGGTGTAACTCTGCATAGAAACCAGTCAGCTTCCATGTTTTATTGATAAAGGTTAATTGAACAAGCTGAAGTTAGAAGCTGATTGGCTACCATGTACAGCTGAGTGTGCCAATTTTAGTAAATCTCCCCAGTGTGACATGTAACAGTGGATTCGGTAAGCAAAACTGGCTTTATGTTTTCTCTTTAACATGCCAATTAATTAGACAGGATTAGAAAAAAGAGAGGAATGGCATTACTATTGTGAAAGAATGACAAAAGCATAACATATTTCAGGTGATATTACAGATAGATAATGATGTCTCCCTTCTTCAGCAACCCATGGATAACATACAAAACTTGATGTTTGTACATATCAAAAAATGCCCTTTTTGAAATTCCCAATCAAAGGCTAAAAGTCTTCAAGTACACATTTATGCACTTATCCTATTTTTATTATGTTCCATGATCCCGCATTTATGACAAATCCATTGACTTGATGAATTCCAGGTAGTCATATTTTACAATGGTGATGTGCAATGATTGTCTTTTCTGGAAAGTTCCCCACAGCCATTTGTATCTCTGCTACAGTACCTCCTAATAGGCTAAAGTGAAAGTTTCACTCTCTTGCATCTGGTTCCCCTAATTAGTCATTGTACATTATAGAGAATATTTACACTATATTGCCAAAAGTATTGGGACACCTGCCTTTACATGCACATGACATCCCATTCTTAGTCCATAGGGTTCAATATTGAGTTGGCCCACCCTTTGCAGCTATAACAGCTTCAACTCTTCTGGGAAAGCTGTCCACAAGGTGTAGGAGTGTGTCTATGGGAATGTTTGACCATTCTTTCTGAAGCGCATTTGTGACGTCAGGCACTGATGTCGGACGAGAAGGCCTGGCTCACAGTCTCCGCTCCAATTCATCCCTTCTGTAGGGTTGAGGTTAGGACTCTGTGCAGGCCAGTCAGGTTTCTTCACCCCAAACTTGCTCATCCATGTCTTTATGGACCTTGCTTTGTGAACTTGGTGCGCAGTCATGTTGGAATAGGAAGGGGCTATCCCCAAACTGTTCCCACAGAGTTGGGAGCATGAAATTGTCCAAAATGTCTTGGTTTGCTGACACCTTAAGAGTTCCCTTCACTGGAAATAAAAGGGCCAAGCCCAACTGCTGAAAAATGTCCCCACACCATAATCCCCTTTTCATCAAATTTTACACTTGGCACAATGCAGTCAGGCAAGTACCGTTCTCCTGGCGACTTCCAAACCCAGACACGTCCTTTGGATTGCCAGACAAAGATGTGTGAATCGTCACTTCAGAGAACACAGCTCCACTGCTCTAGAGTCCAGTGGCAGCGTGTTTTATGCCACTGCATCCGATGCTTTGCATGGCACTTGGTGATGTAAGCCTTGGATGCAGCTGCTTGGCCATGGAAACCCATTCCATGAAGCTCTCTATGCATTGCTGTTGTGCTAATCTGAAGGCCACATGAAGTTTTAAGGTCTTTAGCTATTGACTCTGCAGACAGTTGGTGACTTCTGCGCACTGTGCGCTTCAGCATGCCCTGGCCCTTCTCTGTCATTTTACATGGCGTACCACTTTGTGGCTGAGTTGCTGTTGTTCCCAGTTGCTTCCACTTTCTTATAATACCACTAACAGTTGACCGTGGAATATTTAGTAGCAAGGAAATTTCACGGATGGACTTATTGCACAGGTGGCAACCTATCACAGTACCACGCTTGAATTCACTGAGCTCTTGAGAACGACCCATTCTTTCACAAATGTTTGTAGAATCAGTCTGCTTTCCTATGTGCTTGATTTTATACACCTGTGGCCATGGAAGTGATTGGAACACCTGAATCCAATGATTTGGACAGGTGTCCCATTACTTTTGGCAATATAGTGTGTGTGTATATTTATATATATATTTGGAAATGTATTCATACCCCATGAAATTTTCCACATTTTGTCATGTTACAACCAAAAACGTAATTGTAGTTTATTGAGATTTTATATGATAAACACAAAGTGGCACGTATTTGTGAAGTGGAAGGAAAATGATAAATGGTTTTCAACATTTGTGACAAATAAATATGTGAAAAGTGTGATGTGCATTTGTATTCAGTCCCCCCGAGTCAATACTTTGTAGAACCTCCTTTCGCTGCAATTACAGCTGCAAGTTTTTTTGGGGATGTCTCTACCAGCTTTGCACATCTAGAGAGTGACATTGTTGCCCATTCTTCTTCGCAAAATAGCTCAAGCTCTGTCAGATTGGATGGAGAGCATCTGTGAACATCAGTTTTCAAATCTTGCCACAGATGCTCAATTGGATTTAGGTCTGGACTTTGACTGGGCCATTTTAACACATGAATATGCTTTGATCTAAACCATTCCATTGTAGTTCTGGCTGTATGTTTAGTGTCTTTTCCTGCTGGAAGGTAAACCTCTGCCCCAGTCTCAAGTCTTTTACAGACACGAACAGATTTTCTTCTAAGATTGTCCTGTATTTGGCTCCATCCATCTTCCCATCAACTCTGACCAGCTTCTCTGTCCCTGCTGAAGAAAAGCATCCCCACAACATGATACTGCCACCACCATGTTTCAGGGTGGGGATGGGGTGTTCAGGGTGATGTGCAGTGTTAGTTTTCCATCACACATTGTGTTTTGCTTTTAGGCCAAAAAGTTCAGTTTTGGTCTCATCTGACCAGAGCACCTTCTTCCACGTTTGCTGTGTCCCCCACAAGGCTTCTCGCAAACAAGACATCTTATGGCTTTCTTTCAACAATGGCTTTCTTCTTGCCACTCTTCCATACAAGCCATATTTGTGGAGTGCATGACTAATAGTTGTCCTGTGGACAGATTCTCCTACCTGAGCTGTGGATCTCTGCAGCTTCTCCAGAGTTACCATGGGCTTCTTGGCTGCTTCTCTGATTAATGCTCTCCCTGCCCGGCCTGTCAGTTTAGGTGGACAGCCAATGTCTTGGTAGGTTTGCAGTTGTGCCTTACTCTTTCCATTTCGGATGATGAATTGAACAGTGCTCCGAGAGATGTTGAAAGCTTGGGATATTTTATTATACCCTAACCCTGCTTTAAACTTCTCCACTACTTTATCCCTGACCTGTCTGGTGTGTTACTTGGCCTTCATGATGCCGTTTGTTCATTATTGTTGTCTAAGAAACCTCTGAGGGCCTCACAGAACAGCTGTATTTATATTGAGATTTACTAATTAGGTGACTTCTATAGGCAATTGGTTCCACTAGATTTTATTAAGGGTATCAAAGGAAAGGGGGCTGAATACAAATGCACCCCACAGTTTTCAAATAAATATTTGTAAAAAATTTGGAAAACCATTTATTATTTTCATTCCACTTCACAATTATGTGCCACTTTGTACTGGTCTATCACATAAAATCAGAATAAAATAGATTTATGTCTTTGGTTGTAACATGACAAGATGTGGAAAATTACAAGGGGTATGAATACTTTTTCAAGACACTGTATATATATATTGTTGCATACATTTACGACACTATATAAGTACCTGAAATAAATAAATAGGAAATATGCACTTAAATAATTATGAACCGAAAATAAGGTTTTCAAAACCTGCAACCTGATTGCATGCTAGTATCTACAAAAAAAGTAAAACATTATGATTATCCCATGTCTAAGGGAGCAATGTGGAAGCTGACAATCATTGCCATTATCTTCCAGGCCTGTGCTAAGGGGCTGCTCCACCATATACTGACCACATGGGGTCACTTGCTCAGCAATGCCGCCATTTACAGAACATCCTGTATGACTGTAATAAACTGGGTGAAATGGAGAGGGGGTGATGGCATGACAATTTCCACCTCATTCAATCAGAGTAGGTAAGTATATCTTGTTTATTATTTTAATTTAAAAAAATACCTATAGTAATTATTTTAGACAGCTCCGTCTTCACATAAAATCGTAATGAATGAAGGAGAGGGGACCTGTTAGTTATCCACCTGTCATCCATTCATAGAGCACTTTTTGATTGTGAGAGATGGTAGTATGGATTTTATGATTGACGCGGAGGGGGTAGAAGGGGCAGGCATAGTTGGTTTTCCACCAAGATTAGTGGCTCATTGTAACCTCCGCAGCCATGGAAGATCACAGATGCATTGGTATTGGGGGCAGCGGAATGAAGATTCGAATGAACATAGCAGCCACAAGCACAGGGGACACTTTTTATTCAATGTTAGTAGTTTTAATTAAACAAAGCATCTGATTTAAAAGAAAAAAAAACTACCATACATGCATTTCATCTGTGTATTTAGCTGTTTTCTTGAACTTCACCTTTAAGATAAAGTAAATGTATTAGATTGTGCATTGATAAACCGTTTATTTGATTAGAATAATCATTCACTGATTACTTTAATTTCTTCCCTGGAACCAGGGATATCCCCTTCCTCTATAGACCTGTGCAGAATGGCTGACGTCTCCCTGTCTAAAGCCCAGCTGATCATCTGTTTGCAGATTGCAAGAAGGCAGCTACAAATGAATGGCTTTCAATGGCTTGCAGATTTTAAACCTTGTAACACTAAAAAGCAAAGATCACAGTTAAGCGGCGCTGAGCACTTTAGCAGCAATGGAGCTGAATTTTTACACTCAGCAATTGGCTGATTCCCCAATGGTCTGCAACAGCACGCAATTAGAGTGTGTTTCTGCTTTGTTACTGAATGTGGAAAAGCCCTTCAAAAAGGTGAGATTTATATACAGTATGAGTTCAGGACCAAGGTCAGTTCTGTAAACTCACAGACTGAAAACAGTATACAAAGATAGGATGAAATGTATCATTTAGCTCAATTACAGTATATGTTAGGGTGGCCATAGATGGTGAAAAAAATTGGACGACCAATGTTCAAATTGCCAAAATGATCAAAACAGATATTGACCAAGCAACATAAAGGGCCCCATATGATATTTTTTGGTTTCACAACAACCAATTGATTTGGGTTGTTGCATACATTTACGACACTATATAAGTACCTGAAATAAATAAATAGGAAATATGCACTTAAATAATTATGAACCGAAAATAAGGTTTTCAAAACCTGCAACCTGATTGCATGCTAGTATCTACAAAAAAAGTAAAACATTATGATTATCTCATGTCTAAGGGAGCAATGTGGAAGCTGACAATCATTGCCATTATCTTCCAGGCCTGTGCTAAGGGGCTGCTCCACCATATACTGACCACATGGGGTCACTTGCTCAGCAATGCCGCCATTTACAGAACATCCTGTATGACTGTAATAAACTGGGTGAAATGGAGAGGGGGTGATGGCATGACAATTTCCACCTCATTCAATCAGATAAAACCTTGTATTCATTGAAAAAAATATAAGGCATTCTGTGAATGCAGGCAGTGCCGAGTGAGCCACCTCTTGTGGTCTCTATTCAGTGGGGCAACTGATGGGCACAGGACCCAGACGATCATGACTATCACTGTAATAGCACTAATTACAACAATGAATCTCAGCTTCCACAGTAATAGCTCAGGTATGAGATATAAGTACTTACATTGGTCCAAGCTGAACCAAGGTAAATATGCAATTAAGATCATATCCGAAATTCATATTTAAGGTAGGTTCTCACTATTGTGGGAACAGAAACATGTGTAACATGCCCACGTTCCTGCACCTGCAGGCATCTGCGGTCAAAACATGCTGCTCTTTAGCAGACATCTGAACACCAAATGTCAAGTACCTTTTGGTTCTATGTGGCTGCCCTGCGGGTGCAAGTGGCTTGCTGTGGAAGCACACAGAGAAGAGAGGGAGCAAAGGTCACTGACGGGGGACTCCAGAGGAGGAGGTGCAATACCACTGCACAGAGTAGGTAAGTATATCTTGTTTATTATTTTAATTTAAAAAAATACCTATAGTAATTATTTTAGACAGCTCCGTCTTCACATAAAATCGTAATGAATGAAGGAGAGGGACCTGTTAGTTATCCACCTGTCATCCATTCATAGAGCACTTTTTGATTGTGAGAGATGGTAGTATGGATTTTATGATTGACGCGGAGGGGGTAGAAGGGGCAGGCATAGTTGGTTTTCCACCAAGATTAGTGGCTCATTGTAACCTCCGCAGCCATGGAAGATCACAGATGCATTGGTATTGGGGGCAGCGGAATGAAGATTCGAATGAACATAGCAGCCACAAGCACAGGGGACACTTTTTATTCAATGTTAGTAGTTTTAATTAAACAAAGCATCTGATTTAAAAGAAAAAAAAAACTACCATACATGCATTTCATCTGTGTATTTAGCTGTTTTCTTGAACTTCACCTTTAAGATAAAGTAAATGTATTAGATTGTGCATTGATAAACCGTTTATTTGATTAGAATAATCATTCACTGATTACTTTAATTTCTTCCCTGGAACCAGGGATATCCCCTTCCTCTATAGACCTGTGCAGAATGGCTGACGTCTCCCTGTCTAAAGCCCAGCTGATCATCTGTTTGCCGATTGCAAGAAGGCAGCTACAAATGAATGGCTTTCAATGGCTTGCAGATTTTAAACCTTGTAACACTAAAAAGCAAAGATCACAGCACTTTAGCAGCAATGGAGCTGAATTTTTACACTCAGCAATTGGCTGATTCCCCAATGATCTGCAACAGCACGCAATTAGAGTGTGTTTCTGCTTTGTTACTGAATGTGGAAAAGCCCTTCAAAAAGGTGAGATTTATATACAGTATGAGTTCAGGACCAAGGTCAGTTCTGTAAACTCACAGACTGAAAACAGTATACAAAGATAGGATGAAATGTATCATTT